GCAAATAATAGTAGAGAGTTGCATTTATGTGCAGAATTACTGGGGGCTGAGCTGCTGAAAATTGGAAGAATTTTAAGTACTCGATGGGTGTCATCTAGTTTCTGTACAGTTTTGGCTGTGTGGAATAATTTTGAATCCCTTGTGTATCATTTTGAAGAAGCAATGCATGATCCTACAAGAGATAAAAATGTTAAATGCACTTATGATGGCTTGAAAAGAAAAATCACATCTACAGAATTTTTATTGACCTAGGACTGATGAGTGATGCTCTCCAAGAACTATCAGAATTAAGTTTGGACCTACAGGACCGCAACATGGACTTGTACAAGGCAAATATGAAAATAAAAATACTGGTACAAGTTTTTGAAGAAAGAAGACAGAACTTTGGGCCCTATTATAAATGCACTGTTGCTGCTGTACGTGATCTTTGCTTTCATGGAGTTTTACTTCATGAAAAAGTTTCAAGAAAGGATCCTCCCATTGACCCAAGTACATTTTATACAAAATTGAAAGAGTCAATTGAAAAAAGATTGCTTGATAGCAAAGACGATGAGTTGGCATATTGGTCTCATGTACTTGATCAAAAACATTGGCCTGAAGATGTTAATACTCAGCAGATATTTGGAGAAGTGGAAATTAGAAACTTGTCAATCAGACTGCAACTAAATGATAGAGAAATGATTCGTGGATTCCGTGAATTCATTCTTGAAAAGACATATCCAGAAAAACTGTCGCATTTGATACGGACTCTGAATACCATTCCCATTTCTTCAAGTGAATGTGAACGTGGGTTTTCACAGATGAATCTAATTGCCACCCCAACAAGAGCTTCGTTGAAGACTAAGACAATTTCAGCACTTTTGTTCATCAAACTTGTCGGACCACCTCTGAGACTTTTCGATCCTTCAAAGTACATTGATCTGTGGTTACTCAGAGGACGACATTCAGCCATAGATACTAACAGCAGGGAAAGGACTCGAGAAGATTTGTTGGACGAGAATTGGACAAAACTTTGGAATTTACTATGAACATTTGCCTTAAATACAATAAATTAAATTTATGTTAAGAACTGAATTTTTTTTTTTAAATAAAAGATTAACAAGACGTGAGTTCCGGCACCTTTTTTTTTTTTTTTTTTTTTTTACAAAAAAAGCACTGGGCAAGAGGCAGACAAAACAACAAAGTAACCTGGAAAGGCAGGAACAGCCAAACAAGGTACAGGCAAAATAGCAAAAAAAGCAAACCTGTGCTGCTGAGGTAATATGGTAAGGCAGGAGACACAGCAAGAGGCTGGAGACATGACAGGAACCAGCAGCAAACACTACAACAAACAGGCAGTCCTACCCAAGCCAGTTCTGGAGGGAAAGCTTGCTCATATATAGCTTTTCTCCCAGGGCTCCAGCAGGGCCTGGGACTGATCCTGCAAATATGGAGATGGTTGCTCCAGAGCAGCCCAGATCCTGACAATGACTCTCTCTCTGGCTCACATTCTGCTTGTGGCACATTATGATAAGCAGTGAATTGCTTCAGTTTGAGGACACTTACGGACAGATAGCCCCACCACACTGAGACCAGAGTCACCAGTCTTGGCAATTCCTTGACAACAAAGCCAATAGAGCATTTAGCACACATAATACCAGAATCCCATACTCACTTGCAACAGCTGATTGAAATCCAGTGCTGTTCACATAATGGCAATTTGTGTTTGAAGGCAGCAACCCTTTTAAAGAGGGTTTCAAAGAAAAACCTTTTGAAATCCTCTTTAGATTTCACCAAGCACTGGTGTCAGCCCTATATAATTAAAATGGAATTAGCCTGGACTGTATCCACTGCAGATGAAGAAAAGTTTAAGATGAATCTAGTAGAAGAACAAAAGACAGTAGGATTGCTCCAGAAGGATTGTTGCTGGATCCTTGTGCTGAATATGTTAGACTTTGCTAGCTATATACTGAGGCTTCACTGAGAAAAAAACAGTGTTCCCATTTTCTGACATGAGGGAAACAGTTTAATTCTGGATTTAACATAACTAGAAACACATCTTAGTACAAAAGCTTGTCCAAAGGTGAGGGTGAGGAACCTGTGGCTCTACAGATGATGTTGGACTGCAGCTTCCATCTATGCCCAGCAAAAAAATTACATTATATAGTTCCTGGTTGGTTACATAATCCAATCTCTATTTGGAAGCATGCATAAGGTGCTTCCAGATGAAAGACTCCTAGCATTAAAAAGCAAAAGGAATTATGCAGCTTTCCCATCTTGGTTTCCTTAACAGATTTTAATTTTCCTTCTAAGAAAAAGGGTGGAAGCAGCAGTGGGAAAGCAGAGAAGAGCTACAATCTGATGATAACAACATCTGGACCCCCATGAGAGTCTGTGAATGAGGCAAACCGATTTGGACACTAAAAGCTCCAGCTGGAGGCACCCTTGATTCTCAGTAATTCAGACTAAATGGCACAGATGAATTCTGTTCTAAGAGTCACTAAAGCTAAGTAAAATTCCTCTTCAGCTAGTGGAGATGCATTGAGAGGAACTTCTAAGCAGCTTCTCCTGCCATTTAACCAACTTCTAAGCAACGTCTCCTGCTGTGTAAACAAGTACAAAGTAATTTTTCCTGCTGTGTAACAAATTCCAAATAAATAAACAAATGACTTCTTGAAGTTGTTTTTCATCCAAAATCTACCCTTTCCTATAGAAATGTATTCATTTTCTGTTGTCAGCCCAGACACTGACTATTGAAAAATATTTCAATATGAGATATATTTCATATAGGCATCTCTTACTGATATGGCAAGCAGCTATTCACTGGTGTAGTGAACACTTCTTCAAGTACGTTTTGGAAGATTGTAAAACTTGCCGTTTAAATATTGACCATTTATTTCAGCAAAAGCACATTACCTTATCTAACTTTAGGCAATTTATCAGGACTATTTCCTGCCTTCATTTTACTGTCATGAATCTTGGCTGTAGTCTACAATCCGGCCTGAGAACTGCTGGATGCCATGGCAAACATGGATCACATCCACTGCTGCAAAAGGAACACTCTGTTCAGGTATACAAGAAGAAAGTACACATAGGAGGGAGAGGGAACAACACACCCCTGTCCATCTACTCCTTCATGTTTGTCAGTCAGTACTTAGGAAGGATGACTGTCTGAAGAAGAGAGTCTCTGGTACCTGTGGAAGCTCTCCAGGTGAGCTAAGATGCTGAAAACTCCATGCCCTGGCTCTCATGGAGGTCCCCATGGAGACAAGAGGATCTACCCTGCAAGCTGCCAGCCTCCACAAGTAGAGGTGAACAAGTCCAATAGGGAGAAGTTGAATGTTCCTTCCCACATGGTGCATCTACACAATGAAAGTGGAAAGAATGCCTGAATGGGGCTGCAGTGCTTGCACTATTGCATACTATTATTTCTAGATTCAGCAGTAGATAAGTAACTGTTCTGTTGCTCTGTACTGTTGGTATATACAGGTCCTGAATTCTGTACCCATTATCAGTTCACAAATAGTATATGGAATCAAACTGATACCATGAAATGTTGCATGTTATCTTGAATACATGGTTTACTTTCTATGTAATTCTGATAAATATGGTAGGATTTACACAGTGGTAGTTGGCTTGTAAAAAGCACACAATGGCACACGACTTCCAGCATTGCCACTCCATGTGAAATCATCAGGATCTGTGCAGCACAGTCATCTTGCACTTGTGTCTGCTGAAGACCTGGAAAAGCCCAGTTTTGAGTATGTCATTGATTGAGCAATAGCAAGAGCTACAAATGGCACTGGGACAGGGGTGACACCATATGAGAAGAACACTCATTAAAGATCAGGGCTGGATAAACTGGGCAGAAGTTCTTGGTTGGTTACATAGATAAGAGAGGAAAGGCTTACCAGTAATTATAAGAGGTTCCCTGCCCTGTCTTCCCTTATTTACAGATCTGGATAACTGCTGGCAGTGGTGGTGGCACAGGCTGTGTTTCCCAGCCCATAAAGCTTAGCGATTGGCACTCCATCACCTTGTGCCCAGGGTTCAGAAAGCGTTGTGCCACTGTCAACAAATGTATCACTGTTTTGAAAGTGAAAGGACAAGTGGAACCTCAAACAACTCATAACTAGAGTAAACCTCACTCATGCAAACACAAAAATGTTCTATGAAGTCCATACATATCCCCTTTGTTGCAGGATGGACAGGCCCATGAAGGGCTAGGACTTTTGACCCCCTTATAGTACAACAACCTTATACTTCCTGATTTTCTATATTCCAGTGGTTTAAAATAAAACGTCACATCTTCCTTTGGGGCAGAAGCCCTGTTACATTTGGGGCTGGTGTAAATGCAGCAGCAGGGAGAATAGTTGTATTTTATTGCGCATTTATTTTTCAACGTACAGACTTTTGGGAGCCTTTTGCAGCAGATCAGTTCCTAAACCTCTTAAAACAAACAAATGAAACTGTCTTCCAATTCTCAACTGTTATACTTTGCCAGGAATATACTATCAAAAATGGCTTTCCAGTGTTAATTTCATGTCAACTTGTAAATCTGAAAATTTTCACATTGGTTCGTAAACCTCAACGTGTCGCATCAGTTCATAAATCTCTTAAATTAGTATGTGTGTCTGTGTGAAGTTAGCAAAACTGCCTGAACCAAAATTATCACACACTGTTGTTGCTTGATTAGCTCATAAATAGAGCACAGGATCCTGACTATTATCAGCAGTATTTGTGGCTTACTGTAAAATACTGATCAGCTTTCAGGAACTGTACTGAGTAAAATTAAGACTTTAATTGAACCCTGGCACCACTTCAAATGTTTTGCTAAAAATGTCATTTTGTAGGCAGTATCATTAGAATTTGTGCTTATAATTGCTAATATATAACAACCCTTGACAAGCTTAACAAATACATTGTTAGACACCTAAGCATACTTTGTAGATACTTTATGTAGTGATTGAAGTTCTAACATTCCTTTAAAAGCAAAAAATATATATACAAAGCCATTTCTCCATGCTCTGAGTTCTATTAATGACCATTCATGAAAGAGATGATGGTGAATAAAGAACTAGTATTTTCAGGAGAGTTCATCTGCCTCCAAAGGTAGTCCAATTTTTTAAAACCTGTTGATGTGGTTGGCTGTTATTATTAAGGAGGTAGATTATAGTTACAGAGCTATGCCCCTATTGTGTTTTATATTTAATTTCCATGATGCTGTATCTGTTCTCACTGGAAGCCAGAAAAACTCCTGAGAGCTTTTCTACATGGAGCATTTATTGTGCAGTCTAATCAGAGTTGTTTAGGGGTTCTTTAGCTGACAGTGTAACCCCAGGGAAAGATGGTGACTTCTGTGCTAATTACGTTCCTTAGCCATTGCAGCTTTCCTTCTGAACTTTACAGGAACTATCCTTGGTGCTGAATCCCAAAAGATATTCACCACCATGGCAAATGAAAAATAGCTCCTGCAAAGTGGAAAAGCAGAAAAGTAAAGTCTCGGTGAATCAGGAATTCCACTGACATAGACATCTTCAGCCTCTCCTGCATACCCATCCAGTGTTGCTTATATTTTAAACAGAACTTTCAGTGAAGATCAAGGAGCAAGGAGATGGGAGTAGCAGGTAGAGGTGGGCAGCTGGGGAGTGGGGTATGTCTTATATTGTGTCTTTTGCTTCCCAAGCTCCCGTGATGCATCCCACCCAGTCTTTGGTCAACAGCCCTTACTCCTGGTTCCCAGACCAATGTAGCAGTTTTCAGAAATCCTCCTTGAAGAGGGAAACAAATTCTAGGATCTTTCTCTGCGGTTCTGGGCCTCTATACTGAGGTATGGTGTGTCAATGTTGCAGAATTCTTTACAGACATGTAGAGCAAGACCTAAGATTAGCTCCCTGGATCCTGGGGATAAGTTTGCTGTAAATGGGAAGGATGGTTATATGCAGGAGATTATTAGTAACTTACTCAAATATAAGAATTCTACTATCTTTCTGCTGCTTCTCAGCCCAAAAGGGTCTCAGAGTGCCTTACATATAATCAAGGTATGTAATGACCATTCCTGCTTTCAGGTTTATAATCTAGAAAGACGCAGCGTACAAGGGGAAAGAAAAGGGAAGGGAAGCGGGAAAATGTCTTCCAGAGGGTCTGGTGGAATGGCCCCACTCTCATGCTCCTTTCCCTCAGCTCCCCCGGCTGCGAAGTCAGGAATGCCCTGACAATACTCCACCCCTGGCATCAGAAATATGCTTAGCATAAAGGTATCCCAATGGCATTTTCCCATTTTGAAGGGATGAGCAAAGGAGGAAAATGAACCAAAGAGATACAAACAGCACATGGTGTAACATTCAAAGGAGAGCAGGACTGAGTGTCCTACCAACAATTTCTGAGAAATTTCAAGTTCTGGAGACATTGGGCAGCTGGTCTGAAGGAAAGAAAGAGTGTGTTGGATAGTCATTGTTCTGCCATCTGCTGTTCTCCCTATCCCTCACCAACTCTCCTCAGGACAGCCAGCTGAGACTTGCTTCACAGCTGCTGTGGAAAACAGCATGGATGGATGTGGTGGAAACATGAAAGGCCATTGAACAGCAAAACTGAATGGTGCTTATAATTCCCCTGCGTAGGCCTAAAGTGTTCTTTGGGGCATGTTTATGGAGCTAATCAGCTGTGCCTTTTTGTGGTTTCCAGGAATGATCCTATTGATTCTGTGTTTGGGGCAGGTAGATTGGCCTTTGGCAACATCTCAAATGAAGCTTCTTGTTGTTCAGAGTGTCTGGGATGAAAATTATCTGTGCTGGACTGGTGGCCTGCCAATTGCTAGGAGTAGTGCCTTCACCCATCCCCCAAAGAGAGGGATGGGGCATTTTTTTATTAAGATTTTAAACTAAAACTACACATATCAATCATCACACACATCAGATTTACTGGGTCAGCCCCCTACAACATGTCTTTTAACATTCTATGATCATACTATAATCCTTTTATAAAAACATGAAAACGTCTTTAGATCAAAGGGATGGGGTATTCCTGAAGTGATAGGACCATAACCAGAATAGGAAGGATCAAAGAAATAGCTCCTGAGTCTCTGGCACTTCTCAAGGGCAGCTGTCTCCTCCCTTTTCCTCTCCAGCAGACTCAGATGACACTTCAGAAGCACAGTCCTTTCATTAGAGCTTAACAGGTTACCAGACAGCATAAATCAAAGTTCTCCTTGAGATGTGGGAGAAGCATCCACCCATCTGAAGTCCTTAATCTCTGAACCCTCCCCTCCCTCCCTCCCTTTCAGAAAAGCTTCAGACTCTACCCTCAAGGTGGCTCTTGTTGCTTGAGGCTAATGGCAGGAATGTGTCAGCCATTACCTTGACTGTAGTCTCCTGAAAGCATCAAGGAACTCCTCTCAATCTCCTCCCCACCCAGTTCTGAAAAGTGTCCCTCCTTACCCAAGGCAGGCTGGTTCTCATGCTCTACTCAAACATCTTCACTAGGCACCCTGAAACTGCACTCCTCTGCCCACCTCTGCCCTCCTCCTCCTTTACAGAGTTGGATTAATCTTTCTGAGCTGACTGTAACATGACAGAGCTGGGCCCCTGCTCAACAGGCAGAACTGAATGCCAGGCTAATATAGACAGGTGCCGTGGGGCCAGGCCATAATGGGGCCATGCTCACTGCTGATCTTATCTTGATAAGATGCTGGATTTCCTAATAGCAAAAGGATATATGCTTTATGATTCCACTCTAATAGTGTGCTTTGATTTCCTTTTCTTCAGTTACTTCTGTGCATCTGTTCATCTTTCCATCTCTTTCCTTCACCCATTCGGGTGCACATTGCCTCTGAATGTCCAGAAAGAAACTTTCCCTATTGGCAAATGAGCCATTATTTCAGAGGTGGGTGTGTGCACACATGTATGATCATGTTTTCCTCTTGTGCTGGCCTTGCATTTCCTCAGGTTTCTCTTTCATCACATCTGAGCGGGGGAGATATGCCAAGGAGACAGTCAGCATATCTGTGTCACCTGGATTGACTCCATAAGGTGTGGAGTCTTATGGATTAAGATATGATACAATGCAAATGTGCTGTGAGTTTCCACACCCTCCCTGAGCTTAGTGGCTGCCACTTCTGAAGGCAAGGAAGAGCAAAGTCATATCAAGGTCATAGTCTCCTGGGAGTAAGCACCACTGAATTTAAAGGGACTCGCTTTTGAGAAGACATTTCTGGGATTCTGCTCCAGTGTCTTGCATAGAGCTTCTAGCTCAACTTCTAGAAAAGTAAGGTGAGATAAAATGGGGGTGTTTAAAATAATGGGACCATCCCATGAAGCATTTTGGTGGGAGATTTAGGACAGATAAAAGTATTACTTCACACAATGTATAGTTAATGATTCACTATACATCAATCAACTCACTATATGATTCACTTGGGAAGTGGTGATGGCCACCACTTTAAAATGGTATTGAACACATTCTTGAGGGAGGAGGCTATCAATGGCTACTAGTCCTGCTGGCTATGCGCTACCTCCTTTACCAGATATGGCATGCCTGGCTATCCCAGTTGCTGAGGAACTTGGGAAGGCAGATTCCTTGCACCCTGGTTGAGTGATCCTGTCGATGGCTAGTTTGCCACTGTGTGTATGGAGTGCTCGACAAGATCAACCTTTGGACTGATCCGGAGTGGCTTTTCTTACGTTATTTTCTATGAAGGGCACCGGGAGAGGGAAGGTTTAAGCTGGAGCAACAGTGGCAAATTACAAGAACCATCAATTAGGAAGTTTATATGAAAATGAAAGCAGCATGAGAGCAGCAGTGTAGCCTACTACTACATCATCTTTTTCCTCATTTAGGCCCCCAGGGTGTTCAGGCACAAGTGCCTTACTCTTCCAATAGATTCTGCCAAACTATTGGTGAATAGTTTCACCAATTTCCCCTTAGTTTAAGGATTAAAATGTTTAGAGAACTCATAAATAAAATATTATCCATTCTTTTTATTGTCCCACTATGACATTCTGAAGAGTTATCATGGAAACATTGTTTTTTACTATGTATAAAACTATTGAATATAAATTGGAGCTTCTGCTTTATGGTTTTGAATATAAACCAGTAGAACTTGTTTTGACTTGGCAGTGTTGGTCTATCTTCCAGCCAAAATCATCTGTGCCCATATTCTAACTGAATTTCCAAAAGAACATGCTCTGAATTCATTACTGCCTTAAATCCCTCATATATTTTTATTTCCTTCTACAGCCTTTTGGCTATTGAATAGTCTGGTTATATCTGGTACAAACGAGGCAAAACTCAAGGTATCCATCTTTTAGGGACTATATTTAAAAGTCAAAAATCTAAAGGGTGCTCAGCTACAGTATAGCCAAATTTCCAGCATCAAAATGAGTTTTATAATTTGAAAAGATGAAAAGCCACATAATAAACCAGCTGTGGCATATAACATTTCCCACTAATACTTATCTAATTTGGCTCTAGTTTGCTCCATCTTTGTGCAAGTACCCATCTGGGGGCAGAGGGGAAGCCTATATTTGCTACAGGATACTTGTGTTTCTGTGCATTGTTCCTTTAAAAGCTCTTTATGAACCTTCCTTTTCCTGCTAATCTGGGACCAGAACCTATAGGCAGCCTTCCCCAACATGGTACTATCTAGATGTTTTGGACATCAACAGCAATCAGTCCCTGCCAACATGAACAATTCCCAAGGATTCCAGGAGACTTAGTCCAGGATAAATGGAAGGCACAATCTGGTATGGGGAAGGTTGGGAAAAACCACTATAGGGCAGATTTCCAAAGTTGTTAACTCCTGAGATTAAGGGAAAGAGTGGAAGCCACAAACTGAACAACAGAGATTGTGGGCCAATGTCACTCATCACATCCCCATTCCATTAAGATAACTTGAGCCAGTCACCTATGATGGCACACAAGTAAATCCCATCAATAACAACTGCAATTGTTGCATAAGCTGTGATATCTGGACTCATCCTGACTGCTTATAACATAGCATGTGTGCTAACCCTGGACAGAAGGCAGCACTCCAGACTGGAAAGTGCTCCATGCAGTTAGAACCACACATTTTAAATGTGGCTTCCTAGAGGTTGCTTCTCTGCCTCTGGAGCTACAGTTACAATAGGCCAGCAGTTTGACAGTGCAGCTGGTCTTCCTGACATTTTGGATCAGCCTTCTGCATCCTGGTACCCCCCAAATGTGCTATTCTCCAGCAAACATGGGATGTTTTAGCTCAATAGATCTAGAGGGCATCCATAAGTTTGGAGAAAGTTGTTTGAGATACATTTTACATCAATCCATATTGTGATCATAAATTCCCCACCAACACTTATTGGAAGGTTAAATAAGTGTCAGATTGGTAAAGATCTACTGTGCAGTAAGCACTGTAGTGCAACTTCACATCGGGTGCAGAATCTGATGATACCTCATAACAATATAGTTTTTAAAATGTGAATAAGTTGCACTGTAGGCTTCGAATGAACCATAACCAGCTTCTCAAGCACACTAGCTGACATAGCATGTATTTCCCAACTTTGGAGATTATAAATGAATTTTGTAGAGAGGATTTTTAATTGTAAATTATCTGCAGTTGTTATCATTGCAATAATTGTAAAGACTGCAAGGTATGTCTTCCTTGCAGTCCCCATTTAGCAGAATTTTGAGTTCAGCCCTAAAATCTATGCTTAAAATACAAGTTTCATTTCTTTAGTTCTGAGTGTTATTTTTAGGTATAGACCATCTAGCCAGATGTAGAAATATTAAGTCCTAGATGTGTCTAGAAAAGAAACATTTGTGCTGAAGGAAATACGGAATAAAAATTCTGGGAGTGGGGTGGTGGGGAGACACTTTATTTGTGAGATCAGTTTTCACAAGCACTCTGTTAACCCACCTGAAGTGGTGTAATTATGCATTACTGTACGAATGTCTAAAGTACAAATTCTGTATTATGTTATTCCCTAAATAACAAATGTTATTTATATGGTGTCACAGGGCTATGCTATTCCTATTGATGCTTATGTCAACTAAAAGTACATTCTGCCCCAAAAGAATTTTACAATTCAGTCAGATGAATAATGATGTGATGCAGTGAGGTTGAAGAATAAAGTTTACACAGCAAAAATAAAGAGACCTGTATATGTATAAAAGTCCTGCATACCAGACCAGTTTATTAAAATCTAACTCTACAGTGGATTTTGGAGAATCCAGGTTAAGTTCCATTTTCCAAAGTTTTGTTGAATTCATTGTAGATAAGCATTAGCAGAAGGAAGATGTGGACATTGGATGTAAAAATGGCATGATGCAGGATAAACTAAGCTAGCAAGAAAGCAGGTTGTACAATATGTTTGTACAATTACATATAATGTACAGAAAGGGCATTTTAATCATACTTACCAGTGCATTTTAGGAGTTAAGCAGAAATTCTAATCTATATGCATGGTTATGAATATGGAGCCAAATAGTCATAGTAATCCAGGATTCAACTTTGGATGTATTCCACTTTTTCTCTAAGTCAATAGCAAAACTCCCTTTAATTTTAACTGCATGGAGTTCTAATAAAGGCTGGTAGCTTTCTGTACACACCATGCTATAATTCTGTTCATTGCATTGTAGAATTGCATTGTGTCCTTAGGTCTAATGTCATTTTTGGCACATTTTAGATTAGTACACAGATTTCTTTTAAAAATAATATGAACGTTATCCTAGCATTTAAAATGTATATTCTGCCAAGCATGACTAACAAATGATTACCAACATTTTTTAAGTGCAACAGCTGTGATAAATACAATCTTCTCACGGGTCACTAATCCCATTATTGCTGACTTTATTCTAATAATTCTAATAATTATTAGAATAATCCTAAGCATATTGATTTTCTGGATCTGACATAGATATGCCAAGTATTCAACTCTATAAGTGAATAAGATGCACAAAATGGCAAAGAAATGAAAGTGGAAAGGACCAAACTTTAGTTGTCAAATGGAGTTGATGAACAATGGTTTCCAGTTCTGAAACAGGAAGCAGTACCCTGCTGCAAGATTAACAGTTCCAAGACTGGTAGACAAAACAATGTGCCAAAAATCTCCAGTAATGCTAAAAAGGCACAAAGATGTAGACTAACTTCCATAGCTTTTCTGAAATAAATGGCAGTGTGATTCTGAATGTGGTTTTCCAAGATTCTTTTGTGCCCTCCAAGACATGATTACAATTTAGAGTGGGCATTCTCCCATATTTTTTAAAACAAAGAATAATAGGATTGCAACCAGGTAATGAAACAAGTATTCTATATTAATGTCATTTAATAGTCTTACTGTGAGCAGAGCCCATTCAGTGGTGTCTTCATGAGTAGGATTTCAGTCCTAGTACAGGCTGGAAAATGGAATGCAAAACACAGGAGGGCCTGAAAAACAAATCAGATTGAAGTTGCCCTCCAGCTGCATACGTTATGAACTTCTCCACTCTGGTTTCACAACTCTTCTTGAGCAATGACACATACCTCTGAAACAGAATTGGCCAGAGACATTTTACTGCCTGTAGTGAAGTTTAGGATAGCAATCCCCATCCCATTCCATGTATAAAATTGAACTAGACTGGTAGTTGATTGGGGATGGCTGCACCTGAAAGTGAGATGTTAGGTTACAGGGAACCCCAACACTTGAGCCACCTCGCAGTATCTGCTGCCTGAGAAAACTATCTCACTTTCCTCCTCTGTGCTTTACAGTTATTTCTGTCACTGTTTAGTCTTTGACTATGAAGAGTTAAAACCAAAGGTGCTTATTTGGAAGTGAATTTCATAGATTTCAGTGGATTTGCATAAACCTTTGAGGAAAGAAACTGGTTGGGTTTTGATCAGGTAACTGACTGACCAGTCCTTGAAGGAACTAGAGCAATCAGTTATCCTCGATTTAATACTGACCTATATGAATGACTTTAGTGGATAAAGTGGAAGCTATGGGAACTCTGAGGGAAAGTGACCACAACATACTTGTAAAAATATAGCATACCTATACATATTCTCAGGATTTAAATAGATTTAGGACAATGATAACTATGGTCCTAGGGCAAGTGACCCTACAGAAAAAAGGAGTCCAAATGCTATTTTGGCCTGTATTAACAGAAGTATTGCTTTCAAATCAAGTGAGGTGCCAGTTTATTGAGCACCAGTTAGGCCTCACCTTGAGCCTTGTGTCCATTTCTGGGCACTGCGCTTCAAGAAGGAGGTAGAGAAGAGGAAGAGGGTTCAAAGGAGGGTAAAAGGGATGATCGAGGGATGGAAACAAAGCTCTATGAGAAGACATTGAAAGAACTGGGCATGTTTAGCCTTGAAAAGGCTGAGGGGAGATGTGATAGCATGCTTCAAGTACTTGAAAGGTTATCACAAAGAGGAAGGCTGGAATCTGTTCCTCATCATTCCAGAGTGCAATGGAATAACAGGCTCAAGTTACAGGAAGCCAGGCTCTGGCTGAACAGCTGGAAGAATGTCCTGTTAGAGCAGTACAACAATGGAACCAATTACCTCAGGTGGTTGTGGGCTCTTCCAAAGTAGAGCAATTGGATGCAATCAGACAGCAATCTGTCAGGGATGCTTTAACTTGGAGTAGGAAATTGGACTCAATGGTATTATAGGCCCTTTCAAACTCGGTTCAGGGCTGATCCTGAAATCACACACAAACTGTGAGTCTGATTTTTCAAGGGGATTGTGAGAACGATAGTACAGAGAGAACCTGAGGTACAGCAAATGGTGGTCGAAAGCAGACTGGCAAGAGGGCGGGGACTCCACCCATTTATACGAGGGGGAGGGGGACTAGAGTTCCTGCCAAAAATCCTTAGAACTGAATCTTTCCAAAAGCAGGCACTGCGCAGGTGCAGTACCCATATGTGTGATGTACAGAGACCACGACGAAGAAAGTTGGATCCCTACTCCCGGATTCACCTTTCAACTAATCAGGAGCATTGTCTCAATGTCATTATGTCTTTTCTTGATAAAGTTCCAGATTCACCAGTCAATTACCAATAACAGGCACCACTTTAGAACCAGATTCCTTGTGTTTAGATGGAAAGGAGTAATAACGTCACCAGCATACTGGTAGCATTGAAACCCTAAACCCCATGCAAATGGAGTTCCGTGCACACATTACACAGCATGAGGAAACAGATAGACCCTGAAGGAGTCCATGGGCCAGAAGCCACAGCATCTAGCAGCAATACATGGCATTATCTTATGGGATCACCTCTCCAAGAAAGACCAGAACCATCAATGTTACTTCACAGTCCTGTCTCAGTGCCTTATTTCCAGGCTGACCTTTCAACAGTTAGTACAAAACCAAATTGAATCCACTTAAAACAACTGTTGGTGTAATACTTTGCTTGAAGTTAATTGATTAACTATGGCTAGTTACCTGGTAGTGAAAAGCTTTCCTGCCTTCTAATTTATACGAATTATAATTTGAAAAGCAGAGACCAAATCTATAAAACCTACACCTGATATATAAATATGTAAATCCATGGAATGCTTAATTGTGTAGATAATATGCCACCAGAAATTTTGTGTTAGGCCAAGCCCTGATAAGAATATGACTTTTAAATATAAGCAAAATATTGCGTGTGGAATTTCATTAAGTCCTATTTAGAGCAGACCTATTTAAATGAGGCTTAAGACTGTCTAATACGAGATGCATGCAAGGAAGGCTGGTAGCTCCTATGTCAGGGGAGCATCTCCTGCATTGCAGCTTTTCTTTTTCCAGCTTTCCATGTTGCTCCATGGTAGTAAACCTATTCTGGAGTACGGTGTTCAGCACTATGGACAGCCCCATAGTAAAAGCTGCATTGGATAATGAGCCCCACTGACACAGGAGTCACCAGTTGACTCTGAATGCAATGCCTTGCTGCGGCTTTGCCACTTTCCCGTACGAAGCTAGACCAAGTACATACTTTCTGCAATGGATGATTGCAGAAAAAAGATGAAGCTTTTTCCAACCTTTCTCCAGCATGTTGTGGAGTGGGGAAATTTCTCCAGTCACCATTCAGATAGAAGATAAACCTCCTTCCTCATTTAAACCTTGTTTATAAAAATGCCATTTAATCTTTAAGAGCAGCACTGAATTAGATTACAACACTTTACTCATGTTATTAAAAAGGAAATCCCTATTTATCTGACAAGAAAGATCATTATGTGTGTTGCCTTTGGGTGTTTTTGATGAACATACTGAGCACAACAAACCAACTAGGAGAGCTAAACTAATGCTGTTGGAATTTTGAATTTTTACAGTAACATACTAATGGAGTACATAATTAGGCCTTGAGCTGAAATGGTAAAATGTGAATTATTTCCTTCAGTTTAATTATTTAATCAAAAAGCTGAATGTAGTCTTCTGTGGACTAGTTATCTTCTGCTAATATTTTTATTAAGTGTGAAAGCAAAATGCAAATTCAGGATGCATTTTAATGCAGTCATGCCAATATTTAGACAAAATGTTAAGGCCATTCCCTTCTACACTATAATTCTTTTTTTTTTCATCAGCGCACAATCATTTTCTAATGCAGTTCAATTAGTTTGAGGTCATTTATGGTAATGCAACTGTAAGGCAATTACGTTTTTAATGTTGTTGTAACATAAAATTTCATTAACTTTTTTTTTTCTTTACTAAAATGGTTATTGCCCAGGAGGAAAATTCAGCCCCTGATGCAGAGTTGAGTGAGTTTTATTAATCAAAATGGCCCATAAACTCTACAAAATGTTACCCAAATGTTATCCAAATCTTCTTAAATAAGATTGCTTCATTTAGTGGGTACTAAATGTGGCCAGCAGCTGCGTGGAGGGGGGCAGTTATCAGGTAAACTTGAAATACTTGAAGTTCTTGCTCATTTTCTACCATGCTCTTTTCTTGCAACAAATGCTGTTATATCTTCCAAATCTCCTATATATAATAGGCTAAGGCTACAATAAGCAAGGGATGCGGGTGGCACTGTGGGTTAAACCGCTGAGCCACTGGGCTTGTTGATCTAAAGGTTGGCAGTTCAAATCTGTGAGACAGGGTGAGCTCCTCTTGCTTTGTTCAAAAATAAGCAAATGCGAGTAGATAAACAGGTACCACTTTGGTGGGAAGGTAACAGTGATCTGTGTGCTTTGGTGCTTAGTCTTGCTGGCCACACGACCACGGCAACTGTCTATGGACAAACGCTGGCTCCCTTGGCTAGGAAACCAAGATGAGCACCGCCCCTAGAGTCAGGCATGACTGGACTTAATGGTTTTTACAATAAGCAAAGAAATCCTACCATTCTTAATTACCCCAAAATACTCTGCAAAATTAGTCTCCTTTCAGGATTAAGTCCAAATTATGGACAAATAACCAGTTGCTGGGGAACATGGAGGGATGGTACTGATGCAGACATGCTCTTTCCCATGTGAACAGAAGGCTGGACATAGATGCTTGGTCTGATCCTGCATGGCTTTTATGTTTTAATCACAAAACCATGCCAATAAATGAGAAATAAAAGAGCTCTAAAACCAGTTTGATATACTTGGCCAAAGTGTTCAGTGGAGTTCTGTGACAGGCAGAAGCAGCAGTGTTACATGATGCTTGCATTTCACGTCCCTTCAACCATGGTTCCAGAGACTTCCAGTTTCTCCTAAAAGTGAGTGTCAGCATCACAGTAGGCGCACCTTTCAACCACACAGGAGTCCTGAGTAAACATACTCCAGAGGTTCTTTTCACAAGGCTTTACTGTCACACATCTCTAAGTGCACCAAAAGTGAAGTGTTGAGCCCCAACACCCAATTCTTTTATACCCTTTTCTTCTGCACTGTCCTGCAGGCAGTGAAACCTCACCTGTTGGCACTCCTCTAATTTTCCATCAACTGACTCTCCCACCTGTGTTGTCTCCTAGCAACCAGCACCACCTTTTCAGGGAGAGGAAACCCTATATCTGACAGACTGCTCAACTCCTGGAGCAAACTCTGCCCAGTTTCCAAGTCCTCTCCTGTTCTCTCATTAGTAGATTGGGCCTCTCTTCAGCCTCAACTTCACTTCTTACTATTTTTCTGTTCCCACAGGCTGGCTGGCTGTCACCTCTACTCATCTGGACTAGCAAGCCCCCTCCTTGTTCCCCAGAGGTTCCCTGGCCTTCCTGCAGCTTGTTGACATACCACAACCCCTTCATCTTTGCTGTCTGAGCAAAAATTCCCATCGAAGCTATAAACTGGTCATGCTGGTTCTGGCAGCTTGTCCCTGTGCTCATACATGACATCCAGTAAGACTCAATTGAACTTTTGTTAAATTAGCTGGAGACAAACATCCAAGGACAAGGCAATCCAAATGTTTCCTCTGAAGATATAGGAGGCATCTTCACTGCTTGGATGAAGACAGGTAGCAGTTACATACAACTATTAAATTCCATATAAAGAGGAGTATACGGCAGTGGACTGGGAGGTCCACTGCTTACACAG